TAAACCCTAGGGAAGATGCTTAACACTTGTTGAAATTTGTAGCAATTCACAAGTCTATGTTAAGCCGACATATGATCACCCGCTGAGGCATACAGAAATTTACAGGTTGATATAAAGGCTAAGTATATTGTTTACTACTTGTTGAAAATTTGTAACAATTTACAAGTAAGATAGATCAAGATCACTGTTTGATACTTATTTGAGAAGAAACTTGCAAAATTTACATTCAAAAATATATGTTTTATACTTGTTGAAATTCATGAAAAGTTTGCAGGTCGGTATCTTGCCGAAGTTTAAGTTTTATAGTTATACCCGAGGTATGTCACCCCGAGAAGATTGCACAAAGGAAGCAACATGAAGAAGCATGAAAATTTTTTTTCCCAATACAAGACTACGCAGAAGCAGTCAACAGAACATCACAAGATTAAAACATCCAAAAGAACAGTTGCAATTATTTATTAAAAAAGCCACGTCGGCCATAAGAAGAAGTTTCGCATTGTCCAAAAATTAAAAAAAATACAAAAGACAATTTTCTCAAGATTCTTCGCTGTTAGCCACTGCAGGGACTGGGACCTCGGACGATTTTGGTGGAACCTCGTCGGCCACTTTTTCCGCTTGTATCTCGGCATCAATCTCTGCTAATGATTCCTCAACACTTCTTTCTATCAAGAGAAGATTGGACGATAGCTGCCCAGTAGCAGTTTCCCTAGTTGCCTCCTTGGCCTCATCACCCTCCTCATCCAAGGTTAAGTCCATAACCTGCTCAGTAGGAGGAGGGGACTTGGCTACGACGGCATCCTTGGGTTTTCTCACCAAGGCTTCTTCATTGGTTTCCTTATCTTCATCCTCGGCGTCAGCATCAGGTTCTGATTCACCTTCAGGTGGAGGTGGAGGAAATGGCAAAGGGATGGTATCAGCATTCCGAAGGGGCGAGTCAATAGGGAGATCAAGCTTCTTTATCAGGGACATCCAACCTAGGGAAAATCCGCTGTTGCATGCCTGCCTGACTTGAAGCTTATAATCTTCTGCGACGTCGGCCATACCTTGGGCGTAGGCCTTTTCATCGGCCTCTTTGACTTCGGCCTCTTTCGTGGCCAGAGCTTGCTGGAGTTCTTTCTCCGTTTGGGCCTTCTGAGCCTCGGCCTCTCTTTTCTCGGCCTCAGCAACTTTTCTAACGGCCTCAGCAGATTCGGCCTTCTCAAGAGCTAAAGTTTGAACTTTAGTTGCAGCCTCGGCTTGATCCTCCAGTTTTTTCATTTTTACTTCAAGGGACTTTATCTCTCTCTTCATGGAAGATGCTTCCCTTTTCATATCAACCAACCTTTGATGATTTTCAAAAGATTGCATTGAAAATGAATGGGCATGCTGAATGGCCTGCAGAAAAACAGAAATGTGAGACAGTACTCTCAGTAAAGAACGGAAGAAAAAATCACAAGTACAAACAGAAATACTTACTTGAACGGAGTGTTGGAGCATGAGAGCGTAATTCTCATACTCACTAAGCTTAGCATTTCGTTCCAAGTCATTCGGAAGGAGAAGAGCAGTGCTGAGGGCGACACCAACGTTAATGTCGTCAGTACTTTCACTAGCCATAATGGGCCTATCCTCCAGGGATAGATCAGGGGCCCAGGGGACGTCGGGCTTCTTTGAAGCCGAGGTCGTCGCAGATGATGACCTTGGCCTCTTTGATTGAGTAGACCCTGAGGGTTGATCCTCAGCTGACCTCTTGGTGGAAACAGAGGTTGATTTTCTGCTTTCTGCCAGCTTTGAAATAGGCACAACATCCTCAGCTTCGGCATCTGTAGCCTTAGCTTTAGGCTGAGCCTTTTTAACTCTCTTTGGTTTGGGTGGGAGCATTGATTGCGTTGGTGCGGCTTCGGCGTCAGTTGGAAGATCGGCGAGAAGGTCTTGAACGCCTTGGACGAACCATCTCGGCAGTCTTTACAAGCCTTCGTCGACGTTTACGTTCAGGAATTGGTATTAAGTAGGGGGCCGAAGTTGATGGAAGATCGGCTGGGTCAGATGTGGATTCTTGATCTGTTCGGGATGTAGAAACAGTTAAGGTTGTGGCTGTAGGTGGAGAAAGGCTCTTCTTCCTTTTTCTTGGGACGTCGGGTAAAGTGGATTTGTATGTAGGGATGAAGTTTAGTAATACTGGGGCTTTTCGTTTAAGGATTGGGAGGCCAAGAAGTGTTTTCAGATCTGTTCCTGGGAAGAAGGATTGACGAAAATTTTTCGGTGGCTGATGAAGATCTGCAAAGAAACAGACGTCAGAAACAAAAAAATATTAAAGACTTAAATAAAAACAACTAAGTGTTGACTCAGGGCTCTTTACTCTTGCCCTCTGTAATTGTTTCGAGCGAAGAAGGTAGAGGTGGACATCTTCATTCTGGGCAAATTCCCAATTTCCAGAAGCAATTTGAGAAAAATCAATCTCCAGCCCCCCTGTTGGAGTCTGGGATGTCCGGCTACGATTTTGTACTGAGTAAGAATCTCTGTGTTTATGTAATAAACGAAAACCCCTAATCTTCAGGTCAAGAGGCAAATGGATATAGCCAGTTATTAAGGTCGGCCAGGGTTTAATTCTAAGGTTCTCTTGCCTAGCTAAAGTAATAATACCGTTAATTTACCTATAGAAATGATAGTAAGTTGCATGGGTTCAGCCTATAGAGTGAAGAACTTCGGCGGAAACAGCAGGATCAAGTGGAAAAAGCCGAAAAATATAAATAAGTCCACATTCGGTGAAAGCACTATTAGGGAAGGGGCATCGTCATGGTCTGTGGGCATGTAGGTATCACTGATCCCCAGCTAGTTTTAAGATGGAACATCGGCTGGATTAGAGAATTCCTGCCTTAAAGTATTCAAAGTTTTTTGGGGTATTTTTACCCTATGCCTCCACATTACCCATTATGTCAATTAAAAAATCATGCTTTCAGAAGATGGGCGTTTTTTAAAAGGGTTTACAAGACCTCGGTTTAAAATCCTAAGGAAATGGCTGAATTAAGGCTGTATTTAGTTTCCACTAAATTTGAAGGTTTCTACGCACAAATCCCAAAACCTAAGAACTCTAAAGACCAAGATTGAAGGCACAGATCTGGGGGCAGATTACCAAAAAGATGAAAACAAGACGAAGTTTCAGATCTTCCAGAACAGAGGTATAGCTTCTCAGAAACAATAAAGATACAGAAAAAAAAAAATCAAGAACAGTGGCAAGAGAATGGCTGAAAAAGTATAGAAGTTCAAGGAATAGCCACAAATTCAAGATACAAATAAACCAAGGACTTTCGAACAGATCAGTAATGGCAACAGCAGACAAAAGCGCAGAAATAGAATTACAATGAGGGAATGAATCTTACCGAACAAGTTGAAGCCGGGGCAATGTTTCGCCGAGCTCAGAAAATTGGTTGGCAACAGAAAGAAGCGCTTTGCAAGAATGAGGTTATTAAGGCAGTCCAGAGAGAGATTGAAGCGAGGATGCAGATTCGAGAAGAAAGAGCTTTTCAAGAGCGAGAAAGAGCAAGAAGATCAGAATGAAAAAGTAAGGGAAAATAGAGGCAAAGGAAAGTTTTTGTCCAAAAAACGTGAAAACGGCGGCAACCAATAGGGAAATTATTGCGCCTAGAGCAAACGCACGCCGTCAGACGGCGCGGACGAACGAATAGACAGCCTATCAGGCGCGTCACTTGACACGCCCCAATGAAGACAAAACACGTGAAAGGAAACGGTTAGATATGCATGACAGTCTCATGCGCGTTGGGAGAGTACGATCGAAGCCTTGTTCTCCGAGAGACACCATCGGCTGGAAAGTGGATAATCTTGGCTAATCAGTTTTTGAACCATTACTCAGAAAAGAAGTGACCAAAAATATCGGAATAGGTTCCACACCTCAGAATTGCCGAGGTAAGAACCTAGGGGCAGTGTGTGGGATATATTTTCTGGAGTAGTACCAACACGTGGGCAAGGCTGACGCGCGACGTTGTCAGCCCGAGGGGTTGGGGGGGGGCCCCCCACCGGGTTGGTTTTCCCCTTTGGTTTTGTTTGATGCGAGGTCATCTCGGCTAGGCGAGGTTATCTCCGAAGATATCGGAATCGAAGATAACGTGGATAAGGGACAATGTAGTCCTAGAATGAAAGGCGAACTCAACTGGATGAGGGACAAGAGTCCTAGAATGAAGAGGAAGACTTCAGGTTATGGGTTAAAGAATAAAGACTCTTAGAGAGTTTATCCTAATCCCACTGGGAGTTCCAGATTAGCAGTAATCCTAAGTCCATTAGGGCCAGGATCCTATTGGACTAGGATTTGTATTGGCTATAAAGAGAGGCACCCCCATGGGTCTATGGTATGCTTTTGATACTCAAGTTTGTGAGTTTAGTACTTGATTTATCTTTGAGAGATATACTGACTTGATCGTCGGAGTGCCCCCGGGTGGTCGAAACCACCGCGGGATTCTTATATTTCTGTTGCAGGTCAGTCAGGTGCCATCTATTCTGCCAGTGCTCTCCAGCTGGTTACTAAGCGGGCAGTGTGGTCGGAAAATCACCCACACATGATAAATGCACAAAATTAAAATATATAAAATACAAAAAATATATATATATATATATTATGTTTGGCCTCGTTTGAGAACCAGCCCGTTTAGTCAAAAAACCAAAAAGTTACTAAAAAAAGTCAAAAAGTCAAATATTCTCTTTTTTCTCTACTTTTTGCACATCTTTTCATAAAAAGTCAAAAAGTCATCTCAAACATACTAATTTTTTTTAGCTCATATTTTAACCAAATAGTCAAAAAATTACTAAATTAGCCTGTTCCCAAACGAGACCAAGTGTTATATGAGCCATTAAAATAAATTTAAACCATGCAATACATATTCTGTTTATTTTTGTGTGTTTTAATTTTATACATGGAGCACCGTTGTTATTTAACTGATATACATAATCTAGAGATAAGTTTGTATATTAATAAAATTTTGTACTAGATAAGGAGTTAATCATAAAAAAGTAAAAATAAAAAGGAGAGATTGGCATTTGCAAAAAGTTATCACTAACAAATAAGAATGAAAAACATGAAACTCCTACTACATATGTAATAAAACATAAAACATGAAACATGATTTTTATTTTCTCGTACATTTCCTAATCTCCAAAATAGCCGCAACAACAAACAATCCTACAAGCACAATAGCATAGCCAGCATTCCATCCACTCCCAGCCTTCCCTAAATGAATTCCATAGAATATATTCACTGCTGCAAAAAATATCAATACCCTCCCAACTGTGAAATGATACCAATTCCAGTATATTCTGTACTTTGATGCCTTATCAGGCCTAGCCAAAAATGCAATAACCTGTAAAATATAAAATAAAAAAGAGCATAAGAACTTGAGAAGAAAAAGAAAAGAAAAAAAAAGAAGCAAGAGTCTATTATAAGCATGTGTTTCATTTTATGAGTAATTTTCTAGGTACGAAACGAAGCATTGTTGTTAATTTCATGTGTTCAATCATGTGATATGAGAATGCATTGACTTAATATTGTGAAAAATGCTTTAAGAATGTTAAAGAGCAAATCAATGACAGTCGATGATATATATATGTGTGTATACCTGAAGGCAGCCAAGAACAAGAATGAAGGTTCCGAGGCCTTTGTGCTTGTTGACATTGGCACCGAGCTTGGGTTCTAAGACAAAGCCACAGATAACACCTGCTATTCCCAATATAAAACCTAGTGATTGGATTGAAATGTGGGAATAAAACCAGATTGGATCCCACTCCTTGAAGTGTCGAGCCACGATTGCCCCAATCGGCATTAGAATTCCCCATCCCAACATGTTCAAGATCCCATGGTTCTTCTTCAGATTTGCATATGGAGTTTTTTGTGTTTGGCTTTGACCTGTGTTACCAAATTTTTTGTTTAAAAAAAAATGAAAAAGAAAAAGAAGATCATTAAGAACTTTATGAAATGATTTCTATGTAAACGATACAATTTTGCATAGAATAATGCTATATGTATCAATTGATACACTAATTAATGTATCAATTGATGATGTGGCATAATTTAAGAGATTTTTGGAATTTGTAATGTGATTAATGAGTGGGGTTAATAAAATTGTCATAACTAATATTGGTATACTAGTTAGTATATTAATTGGTACATATAACACCACCGTTTTACATATATTTGATATGTTTTCATACTACGTGACACTGTGCCAGCCCAATAACACAGGCATTGACATAGCCATCTTGTCTAGAGACGAGGCAACAAGATGTTACCCTCCCTACTATTGGAAGGGCACCACACATGTTGGCCGGATCTATCAAATAATTTCTTAGGCAGAATTAAAGTAAAAGAAGTAATTTATCTTGAAACAATATGAATTTATATATATACATATACATTATTGAATAATAAATACTCTAGAGTAGTTGTCAAGGTTAATTTAGTCATTATGAAGTCGAGATCACTATATAAACAGAGTTTGGCTGTATGGTAATGATAGATAAACTTGAATCCCCCTATTACCTACTACTAATGGTGACAAGAGGAAGATATGTCAATAAGCACATTGCTAAGCTTTTGTAAAGGCATAAAAAATAAATTGAAAGATGAACTGAAAAGGACATAAGCATTAGTCTCTCATCTAATTTGAGGATGACACAAAAATGACTTGTACCCTCCCTTTGTTCAAGCAAGCTGTTTTATCTGTTTTTCAGAATATGAAAATAAAAACTGAAAATGAAAACACAATCCAACAAATTTTTTTTATTTCATGACAATTGGGGAGCAATTTTCTCTCTCTTTTATGTTGAGACACTGGATTTTCTGTCCAAAATCTTTTTGTCTCTCTGTCTCAAAACCCTTACAATTATTATGTCATGTTTGAGATATTCATACCTTAAAATTCTTACATAATCTAATGATTGTTAATGTTTTAAACATGAGGACAGAGAATTTAAATCATGAATTTGTTAAGAGATTATAAACGTAAGTGGGAAAAAAAAAAGTTACATTTTTTTTCCTTTATAAATTCTTACATAAAGACAAGATCTAGTTTGTGTATACAAATTTTCAAATTAACTTAAATTAATGTTTAGGGTGTAGGTGAGACATTGACTGGAAGTAGAGCTGTTGGTGGAGTGACCATATGGACAAATTAATTTCATGAATTGAGAAGTAGGTTCTTTGTAAATTAAGTCAAATTCACATGATGATTCTACTTAAAGAATATTATACCTACAAAAAAATGGATACTACAAGCCATAATTTATGTTTTTTTTTTTTTTTATATTTAACATAAGTCATGAGAAACAATATAGGCTCTGTTTAGTTTAAGTTTCGTATCATAATTCCACCCTTATATTTGAATATTGTGTTTGAGTTAAGTTTTTAAAAATTAATTTCAAAGGTCATATTTAAATACACATTGCAATGCATGTTTGGTAGAGTAGAGTTTTTGAATTTTGAATTTGCGGATTAGGTTTACCTGGTCGTCCACCCAGACATCTCCCGGATGTTTGGCCGATTGACCGGAACAATATATTTTTTTTTTTGTTTTCTTTTTTTTTTTTTTTTTTGCAATTACAACCTGTTATTTGAAAACAAAAAATTTATATTTGTTTTTGATATTTTTTAAATATAGAAATTATTTTTTTTAGAACGTTTTTAAACAAAACAATTTAAAAAAAAAATTCTAACCAAATATACAATCAAAAGTAATTTTAAAACACTAGTCCAATTTTTTTTAAACAAGAAATCATATATATATTTTTAATATTTTAAATAAAAAAATATTTTCGGAATTTTCTTAATTTTTTATATAAAATTATTTTTTTGAATTAAATTTTAAAAAGAATTTGATTATGAGTTTTGAATAGAATTTTCAATAGAGTTTTGAGTTGTGTGTTTGGTTATGAGATATAAATTTCTGAATTAAGTTTTAAAAACTCTTTTCACAACTCAATAACTAAACAATTTTTCTCATTTCAAAAATTCAAAATTCATAACCAAATAAATTTTCTCTTTTCAAATCATGATTCAACAACTCACAAATTCAAAATACAATTTCATTCTCAAATCATAATTTAAAACTAAACCAAACACTACCTTAATTTGTCACTATAGGCCTGCCATAACTTTCTCCAAGAACATCAACACCAAAAAAAGAGTTCAAAAAAAAAAAAAAAACCACAAAAAAACATAGGCATCTCCTAGTGACTCCGTGATACCCACAAACTACCAAACTTTCATTGTTATTTAGTTTTCCCCGTACATGATTACCCCTTTGCTAATGAAAAGTTCTTGGATGGTTAAAGACGAAGGACAATTAGTGTTTGCTCAACAACATTTTGATTGGTTGATGTTCTAACGATTTGACAATATTGTCCAGACACAATCCCACCAGTAAGAGGTGGTGATGAATTGACAATATTGTCTAAACCTGACCTCGCGCCAATCGAAAAAATGTAGGTACACCACATGGTGTTGCCCTGAATCAATAATTTTTCCTTGCCAATACAACAATCACACAAAATAATTTATTGATCATATTTTTTTAATCTTTTTTTTTTTTTTTACCCTTTTATTTTTAGTCCATGAGAGGGAGGCTGAAGATCAACCTAGGACATGAGCTGGTTGAAGTGGTGCCTTTGTCATTGACACCAACATCGTTTGTTTGTTTTATTTATTTATTTATTTTAATCTTATTACTAACAAAAAGATAAATAAGATTATACAGCAAAAAAACACCTGACACGGTTTCGTAAGACTGCAATTTGTCACCTTTTTCATTTTATTTTAGAGAGGTTTATTAGAAATTTTTTTTTCCAAGTGTTTGTATCTTGAGTAGTGATTGAGTTGAGGCTCTTATCTCCACAAGACTCCTATAAGATTCTTACAAATCTGAACCATTCATGATGTGGACCTTACATATATATGAGTGGGCCCCACACATACATGAACGGTTAGGATCATTTTGAGGGGGTGGGGGTCGTTCCCAAAAGGGGTCCTAAACATTTTCCTAGTATCTCAATTAGTCCATTAGATATTCTTGTATTCTAATAAATCCTATTATTTGAACATTTGATTTACAAAATCTTAATTCTCATATTTAAAGTATTTTATGGACATTATTACACTTACAAATATTTTTTGAACGGTTTGCAATTTAATAATGTGAATATTCATATTTTACAATGTAAATATTTACATTGACAGTGTGAATGTTTACATTGACATATTAACATTCACATTGACGGTGTGAACATTCATATCACGGAACATTCACACTGTAAATGTGAATATTATAAGGGGTATTTTGGTAACTATGTCCCTCATAAAACTTATTGGAATATAAGAAAATAAAATAGACTAAAATGGAATATAAGTAGGTGAAAAGAAATTTATGAAAAAGTATCCCATGATTTATACTATCAACAGTGAATTATATATTCAGAATTTTTACATATCATTTTTCTCAAAATTATTAATGTTTAATGGGCAAACTTCACTTTATCCTATGTAATTTGGACCGGGTGTGGATTATTTCCCTAATATTTGGAAATTATCACATAACCCTCGCGATTATTGCATTAAAGTGCATAAGTAAAAAGACTATTTTGCCCTCATATATATAACTTTGGTTTATCATTTCTCATTCAATGCATTTGGGAAAAATAAGGATTGTGCGAAGAGAACTTAGGATTTCAACATGTGAAATTAGGCACCATTTGTTTTCAGAGATAGAATGGAGGGGATTGATAGTGAGGGGATTAAAATAGTGAGGGGATTGTTAGTGAGGGGATTGATAGTGAAAAATTGTTAAATTATTTTTATATAAAATAATAAAATAAATAAAAAATATAAAAATTAAACATTAATATTAAGTAAAAAGACTATTTTGCTCTTATATATCTATCTCTCGTTTATCATTTCTCATTCAATGCATTTGAGAAAAATAAGGATTATGCATAGAGAACTTAGGATTTCAACATGTGAAATTAGGGTTTTGATTTAACAAATTAATTTGAATCAAAAATTAATTTAATTAAACCACAAATTATCATTAACTTCCTAAATATTTATTCAATTCCTAACGTTTTCAACCTAATTAAATTTCGTTATACTTTCAGAGCAATATATATATATATATATATTTTATACAAATATATATACATTGTATGCATATACATAATTACACATTTATATATATATATATATATATATTTGGAATTGGATTGATCAACATCATCATCCGAAACATTGAGATGTTGACAAAGCAAAAACTATGAAGTTCATGAATTGGGCTTTTGTTTTGGGTTTTCGTGGATTTTTATTTTTGATTTGGGTTGGCTGGTATTGAATGAAGATGTCAGATTGTGAAACCAATAGAACATTCAGATCTAAGGTTAACTTTCAAAATGAACATGTATATACAGAGAGAGAAATGGATATATACAAATATATATATATAGAGAGAGAGAGATGGCAATGTAATCTATGTATATATCTATCTATGTATCTCATCCTTTTTGCAGGTACTGTGTGAGAGAAACAAAGAGGCTTGTAGACAGAGAAAATGAAGAGGAACACAAAAAGATGAGAGAGTTTATGAGTGTTTGTGTGGTGTATGGGTTGTCATCAGTTTATGAGAGTTTATCACCGTCGCCACCGCTTAGCCTGGTCTCGCTGTCGTCGTTATGGTGTATCGGTTGTCAGTCCAAACCAGCATTTTTGGTTAGTTTTGATTGAAATTGTAACTATGCACTTCAATCCAGTAATCATAAGAAGGTTATGTAGTGATTTTTAAATGTTTAAGAGATAATGTAGACCTGACTCAAATCACATGAGATAAAATAAAATTTTTCGATTTAATTTAGATTCATTTTATACACAAATCTCACAATACACCAATTAAAATATCAATCAACACTTAACCTTTCATACTAATTTTTTGGACGATTTTTTCATGCTAAGTAGACTTTTCCTGTTGCCAATTACATATATATATATATATATATATATACACCACTAAATTTCCCTGTTTGCACCCTACGTTAACCACCAGGCAACTAACCTACTTTTGGTCTGCGCCCTAACCAACAGTTGTTAAGAAAGCTAAAAAATTAGCCAAACATTACACTTCTCATATTGGACCCCATTGGATTGGAATGTGTCAATGTAATACAACTTTAACAAGTTTTCTCCGAGAAATTTTTAAAATTTTTTTTTTCTTTTTGGAAGGGAACTCGGACCCGTAACTGTCTGTATTCACAAAATCTGATTACTGAGCTAATACTAATAGTTTATGTTCAAGAATTTCATTACCCGAAAAACATACATAAAAAAAAATAAAAAAAACATTAAATTAACATGTTGTCAAAGTTATAAAACTCTATTTGAATAGTAAGATAAGAAAAGAGATAGAACTCATACCCGTGGCATAATTCAAAAAAGTGGAGACACTATTACTGTGTTCCGTCAACCGGTACCCGGGCGATGAAGGGAATATTCCGGTGGGTCCAATGGAGTAAACGAGCCGAGAATCCGGCGTGGCGGTGGCCAATTGGAAGGCTATATATATACGAGACGATCCAGCTACAATGGAGCTTGAATTTCCAACGATTGCTAGGTTGCCTTGATCAGGCACCACTTGACTCGGCGTTTGGCCTCCCAGATAGTAATGTTTGATTTGGGCCAGACCGTCGGTCCCCATCCACCCCACGATCGCACTCGAACCTACCATCTGTCCATTGGGAGAAAATCCGATTGCTATGTATGCATTTGTGTTTGGCGCAGAGAGAACAAAGCTCCACAAGCTTGGTCCTGCTTGTGCATACTGAAATTAAATTATACATAACACACAAATTAGTACTAAAAATTGAAAATTGATAATAAAATGATCATAAATTTATCAACTGATATGTATTGAATTTTTATGCACATCAGCTGTTTCTGAGGTGCATCGATTCATAGCCAATTCAGCAAGTTCACACCCGCTATAGTTGGTTTGCAGCCATAAATTTTTTTTTGCGATCGACTTTTTTATTTTATTTTTTAAAAAAATCGATTACAGAATCAAACACAATTATGTAAAAAGATTGTATTCATTTTTATAGTTCTGAATTTAAAAACTTTCATTTCCGATATGTATTACTTTACGCCATGACCATGACCATGACCAAGACAATATATATTATATAAAACATATTGTGTGAATTGTCAACACTTTTTTCATTCTCAAATTCTAAAATTAGCCCTGTACAAAACTGAATATGAATTTCAAATTTTCATAGCTTTCAAAATCTATTTTATAATCAAATGGTTAATTTTCGTAGCACACTCATCGGATATATATATATATATGTAGAGAGAGAGAGAGAGAGAGAGAGAGAGAGAATTACTCTGAGGATGTAATCTTGAGCAGTCCAAACAGAGTTGCAGATGAGGGAAGAAGTATCGAATTGGATTTGGCCATTGAGGTTGAGATTAGAAGAGCATGAATCTGTTTGTGAATTCACATGTGAAGAAGATAGACCAGAGATAAGGAACAAGGCAATGAATATGGAAGATGCCCTCTTCATCTCCTCTTTCTCCCTAGATGTCTCTGGTCTACTCTTCTCTCTCTCTCTCTAGATCTCTTCTGGGTAATAACAAATGCAAAAGTGGGGGAGTGGGTGATCATTTAAATTAAAATTTATTTGTTGCTTGTAGAAGCAGTTGACCTAGTCCTTTATTGTGCTTTCTTCAATCCAGTAATCATAAGAAGGTTATGTTTGGCATAAACTATTCCATGGTTTGTTAGAGAAAGCAAACTTCAATATTTGACACCTCCATCTTATAAGAACAAGTAATTAAACTTTTAGGTCGAGTGGATCTAATCTCAACTTAAATAGAGTCATTAATGTAATAATATATAAATTAATATTTAGATTTAATGATATAACAAATATATTTTTATTAATTTATTCTATTTCTCTATTAATAATTGGTATTTGCACAAATTTACACATTTAATGAATGAAATTATTAATAACATAAATATTACTTAACTTTGTGCTTATAATTTTCAACTTTTTCTCTTAATATGCATATTAATTTAATTTTTTTTCCCTCTAAGTTCGAGTTGTAACTCAACTTATTTATATAATCAAATTAGTTCAAGTACAACTTGAGTTTTTCAAATAGTTAATGAGCCGAATTAAAATATTTCAAAATTCTACTCAATTCATTTATAGCCATTATATCTTACAACCCACCAAATTTAAATCCACCTCATAAGTTAAAATCCTAAGCAGTGTTCTACATGATGATACATATGAAGTGCAGCTGGCATGGGTGATGCAGGAATCAATCAATTTGAATATGCCCAAATAATTAGGAACAGCCCTATAATTAAAATTTTAAGTTCAAGATATTAGGATTGCTTCCTTTTATTTTATTTTTGTTTTGGAGAAATTGGCTCACTATTATTGTCATTTTGTTGTTGCCGGTTGACCCACTATATCTTTCTAGACCCCCAAAAAATAAATATTAAAAAGCTAAAGTTGTTTGGTAAAATTTAATTACAACTTATTTAGTTTAAAATTTAAAATCACATGCTTAATCAGTTGTATTTTAAAAAGTTCAGGTATTTTGTAAAAATAAAAAAAAACAGTTATTTATACAGAGACCCTCTAAACTATTAAGAAATATCATTTTAATATCTTGAATTATAAAAACGTACAAATAGCTCTATTAAATTATTAAGAAGTATCACTTTACCTCTTAAACTATTAAAGTATACAAATAGACCCCTTAAATTATTGACATGTTTCACTTTGATCCCTTCTGTGTTAGGTCTAATTGGTACACTTTTATAGTTTATAGAACCTATTTGTATGCTTTTATAATTTATAGAGCAATTTGATATTTCTCAAAGTTTAGAGAGTCTATATATACGTTTTTATAGTTAAAAAGTTAAAATGATACTTTTTAATAGTTTAAGGGGTCTTTGTGTACATAACCCAATTAAAAAAAAAGGTTTTTAACTTTTTTATTTTATCTTTTGAGTTCAAAAAGCTCAAAATAAGCTCATAGATTTAGAAAAGGACACATTCATACCTTAAAAAGGGATGCTATATATTGCCAAAATATTTTATTGAAACTTCACCTCTTAGAATATCTCTAACATTTACTCTCATTTTTTGCATCAAATTTGAGTAAAAATTTTATCTGCTATCGCACGTTCCAACAGAATAATTTGAGATTTCATCAAACTACCAATCGAGTGGGAGAACAATCAGGAAATGACTGGCCGATCGACTGATTAGTGTAAATTTTCTAAATTTTGAAATAGACTTTTCCAAGGAAGTGGTTGACTAAGGAGACAACCGGACGGTTGTCCGGTGCTCATGCATTCTCCAATAGCCACCTGTAAAGCTAACGGTTATAGTAATTTGGTGAAAAGTTTTAGCATCCTTAATTTGATAAAAAATTTAAGATATCCTTAATTTGATATTTATTTGATGTCAATATCGAAGTACCAATTTTGTATATTTTTTATCAAATTTAAATTTGATGAAACGAAATATGAATTTTCCCATCCACTCCATACCTTCTTCACCAACCTATATCTAGAAGCATTAAGGGTTGCATAACGCGCGCGCGCGCTCTCTCTCCCTTTTTCTTTCTTTCTCTCTCTCTCTCTCTTAGTCGTGTGGCTCTTAAGCCTTATTTGTCATAACCTAAAAAAGTTACTATCCTATTTAAATCACATTATCTTATTTAAGTCACATTATTTCATTATCACATTATTTCAAATCCAACCCATATTTCATAAAAAATCAAAAAGTACATTTATTTAGTCTTTCCAAACTTGACCTTAATATACATCAACTATGAAATAAAATGATGAAATTAATGCGATCATAACAAAAGCAAATCAACTCTCAACTTTTTGACAAATTCAATGGGCCAATTTGTTAAAGTCCAAAAATGGCCCAACAATATGATGGAGGGAGGATAAATTTTCCCTGCCCCTAAAACCTACCATTTGGATAAAGGCTGAGATCCCAATTTGCATCAACTAAATTATATTACATTTATTTGTAATATAAATATGTTTCCAATGATTCGATGGTGACTAGTTATTTTTATATTAGCAATAAATAGTGTCATATAGCAATGTTGTTGCAATGGTATAAATATTATTTCTTCTATGTATTTTATAAAAAAAAATCAAATAAAAATGTTAAATACATATTTTATCATGAAAAACGTAAGAACAACATGATCATCAAATTTGAGTTATAGTTAAATTTTATATTAAAAATTTAACACAAAATTTAACAATACTAAAATTTAGTTAGCCTCTGTTTGGCAAGTGAGGTTGGAGGCTTTTTTGGCTATTTTAGCCACAAAAAACAAAATAGGCTATTTTAGCCATAACAAACAAAACATCACATCCAACCCATAATCATTACATTCTTCTCTCACAAAAAAATTCAAAAAAGCCAAAAAGCCAAAAAGCCCTTCCCAAACCAAGCTTTTAAGCCCAGGCTAAAATAGCCAAAAAAGCCAAAAAGCCAAAAAGCCAACCCACTTCCCAAACCAAGCCTTAGTCTTAAAGTGCTCAAAATTGAGTTCCATACTATTTTTTTTTTGGCAATATAGGCTTATTTTGGGAAGATGGTAAAAAGTGACTTTTTGACTTTTAACCAAGCTTTTGGCTTTTTTAGACAAATGATTTGGGAAGTTGGTAAAAAGTGTTGACTTTTTTGATTAATGTTTGTTTATGATGTCAAATCATAATAAAATGACCAAACTATCCCCATTTATTTAAAATATTTACAATTTCACCTATGTAACACATTTTGACCCATGAGGGTAAAATTGTAATTTCACCGTTGGCTAAAAACCAACTTTCCAAATGAAAAATAAAAATAAAAAAGCCAACTTTTAACTTTTACTACTAACAAAAAAAAGTAACTACAAATCATGTTGCCAAAATAGGCCATAGTATAGCAAATCTTTTACTGCTTTGCCGGTCATGAAGACTAACCAAACACCTAGTGGCAATTTCGACAAGAGTAATGCCTATACAAATGGAATATTTGTATATAATTCTTAAACAAACATGTGGCAAATTGTGATTCCATCATTTGAAAATAAAACATATATCATCCGAATTCAAAGTTTCGAAAACATCATTATCATATATCGTTCTAACCGAGGTTTTTCGAGGAAAATTTGTTTGCATACCAAATCTGGTTGACAAGATGGAGAAGCTAATGCCACTGCTACTTTAGAGAATATCAACAAAAAATATCAACAAAGAAAATGTCTTTTGTGCGGCCATGCTGGTTACAGCATTAGAGACAGGGGTGGACCCAGGGGGGCTGGCAGGGGCAACCGCCCCTTCAAAGTTTTGAAAAAATTCCCCATATATAGTATTAAAATTACAAATATTTTTAAATTATATAGGTTCGTCACTCCAAAGTTTTTGTAAAAAATTTAAGAAGCGCCACCTTCTAAATTTTCTACTTTAAAATTTAAAATTTTAATTATTTTTTTGATAAATACTAATAATAATAATAATAATAATTTATTTTTTAAGTATGATTACTTTTTATTTTAAATTTAGTAATGTTAAAATAATTGAGAATTTATTTGTTAGGGCCCAAAATTTTTAATTGATTGGTTATAACTAAATAAAAATAAATAAATACTACTCACGTGTAATTTGCCTCACGCTTGAAATGTCCTCAAATTCTTATTTAACCTAATTGTTTAAGCCCCCTTCTCCACTTTACACTCTCTCTCTCTCTCTCTCTCTCTAAATGATATAAAAGCTTGGAAACGAACTCGCAGACCTCGTACTGAAACAACAAATGGAGGCAATATAATGAATCAGACCTCGCATCCTCTGATTCCTTTTTCACTTCTAGGTAATACTAATATCTTCCAATTTTTTTTTTCAAATTTATTCGCTCATTTGTTGTCTGATTTTTTTAAATGATTAATCTCGTTTTTTGGAAATAACAAAAATCTGAATATACTCTGTTTGGTTGTTGAGAAACTGGAGGAAAACTAATGACAATGAAATCGAAATCTTCTCTTGCTTCGGTTGCAAACCAAGCATTTACTGTAGGCTTAAGTAATAATAATAATAATATATGCAAGCTTGCAAATAAATTTTATCCTAATGACTTTATAGAGCAAGAAAAAATATATTTGAAATTTCAATTACAAAACTACGAGATTGACATCCTTAAACATCCTGAGTTTCAGCAGTTATTGACAATTTCTGACTTGTGCCAAATGTTAGTAACAACAAGGAAGTCAACAATTTATCCTCTTGTCAATAGATTAATTCGTCTTGTTTTAACTTTACCAATTTTTACGGTGACAACAAAACGTGCATTTTCAACCATGAGAATTATAAAGACTAAATTGCGCAACAGGATGGAGAATGATTTTCTTTCAAGCTACTTGTTAACATATGTTTAGAAAGACATTGTTCAACATTTTAATGTAGATTCCATCATAGTACTTTTTATATTATGAAAGAACGTCAAGAACAACTTTAGATGCCTATGTAAAGCAAATAGTTGTTTTTTTAAAAATTAATATGGATTTACTAGAACATATCCAATTGTATTTTGATAATATTTTGTAACTATATATGACAAATGGAAACATCTAATTAAATATTTTTGTGATATTTGAGTAGAAATTGATATTGTATATCACATTCTCATTATAAATTTTTTGATTGTATATACACTCGCCCCCTGATAATTGAATCCTACGTCGGTCCCTGATTAGAGAGGGATCACCTAGTCGATTCATACTTCTCATCTCTATTGAACCCTTTTGTCATGATTCAAGATTCTCCAAGTGATTTTTTTTATAACTTTCGGGTTTAATAATTAAGTGGAATGATTGTTGTATGTTCAACTTTTGTAGAATTAAATCTTAACCATTTAAATTATCACTCTAAAATAATCTTTGTAAATATCAAAATGATCTAACATCAATAGTCAATAAATGTAGTTTGCTCCTCACCGAGCCTAACACCTCTCCAGTTTCGATGGGAGAGAAATCACTTATCATATGGCTCAAGCTTCTCAAAAGTTGGGTTTACCAATTGGAGTGTGCTATTGGGCTTCCATGAGCCAATCATGAAATTCACATCGATGATCCAAACTGTTCAATACATAAGGCTCCTCAAGTACTTCATTCCTATAAAAAAATCACATTGATCGGATATCGATAGTCATTTAATCGGATCACATTTATTTTTAAAATCATAATTATTATTGATACAAATTTGATCTGATCAAGAAGTTATCAATATCCGATCAACATGATTTTTTACACATATAAAGTATACAATGAGATCTACACATTGAACTATTCAAATCATTGAAGTGGACTCCGTAATGGGCCCACAGAGTCCAACAGCACGCTCCCTTCCAATTTCGGACTGGTGAGCAGCTGTTCCCCCAAAAAAGAAAAGGTTAGATTTCAATGCAGTTCAGAAAATCTACCCAGAGAAGGAAAAAATTCCTATCCAGTACGTATATAAATAATTGAAGCTTCAAGTAAAAAAGAGAGATGCGAAGTACTGGTTTTGTCATTGATGGAGTACTCCTTAGAAGTGATAATATGTAGAGAAATAAACAATATCAAATCAAATATATGTATTTCTGAGCGCTGATTTGCATCCAAATCTATTTTTTAAATTGTACTAGGTCAAAGACCAAACTTTGCCAACCCTGAAGAAGCCCTCGAATAACTCACTTGGGTATGCATATTAACTATGCCTACGTGGGTGGGGGGACCTCATGGTGAATCTTCTAGATCCTTTGTAGAACTTTTAATAAAATAAGCCGCCCCAATATGGCCAAAGGCCTTGTGTATTGCTAAATATTTCAAAGAAATTTGAAAAAAAACAAAACATAATCACATACAAGAAGTTTTTACTTTCTGAGAATCTACTTTTGAGAAGAAATGTTGTGACCAGCAGATGACTGTGCTCCATTGCTAATGGAGGCACCATCTGTTTTCACCCTCCTGTAGAAAAGCACATAAGCAGCAGCTGACTTCACATCTTCTTCGTTTATGGGCGAAATGTGGCTGTCATCGAAGTTGTACCACCTGTTTTCATCTAGAAGCTGCACATTACAGAAATGCTAAAAATCAATATCACTAGGATATCGTGTCAAATAGGATTATTCGTCTCTAGAATATCGTGTCAACTTGATATGTGCACTAAAATTCACTGACCTTGATATGTGCAGTGTAGTGCCCACTTCCCATACCACCATAGTGATTGGTCAAGGCATAGAGTTCATAGAGCTGACGCCTGGGGTTTTTCTTGTTGGCTATATAATTTGTCAAATCAAAGTCATGTACAGGAAAATTGATGAAGGTTTCCAGCTTGTTCTTCATTGACCTGCTGTATGAGAACCTCTTCAAATGAATAACAAGCACTTCAGGAAGCCTCCAGAGATCCAGCTTCTTGCTTGCTTGCCTTCGTTCATTGCATTGAGGACAGTGCCTAAACATACGTGCATCATAAAAGATATCATAAATCTAAATTGTGCAAATGTGAGAGCTCTAGCAAGGTGCAAACTAGCAGGAATCGTGTTTTTAATTCAAAAAAAATTCAGGCCATGTTTGGTTTGAATTTGTAGAGTGATTTTGGGAAACAAATTTTAAAAAATTCGTTTGGTTTGTAAATTTTTCAAAACAATTTCCAAAATCACTCTCTCTTACCTATCAATCAATCACTTTTTCTTTCTCCTCTCTCTTTCTCAATCACTTTTCTCTCACACATCTACTCAATTATAACAAAATATCAAATCATTCCAAACTTCCAAATTCCAAAACTACTTTCAAAATACACAACCAAACAAACTAAAAAAATTTCTCAACTCTCTCCCCAAAACAATTTTTAAAAACTACTCTCCCAAAACCAAACCAAATATACCCTCATTGTTCCATTACTTCCCCGAACTCAACGCTTCCATCCCCAAAAAAAGACAAGGACAACAAACTAAAAAGGCCAGAGATCACTTTCATCAAGTAGCAAGAGAAGTAGGTTAAGTTCACTTGCAACATTAAGAACTGGTATTCCAATTTCCACATTCAGGTCAAAGTAACCAAAAATATAATTCAGATTGTTAATCACACAAAATATTAATCATTGGTGGATCTCAGAGCACTAGTCAATAATAAAACAGGGAAATTGTCACACAATTTTCAGCAATAATAAAACCGTTGGTCACCAGCATACCTACTATGAAGTGTAGCCAAAATTTCCCACTCAAGAGTTCACTAACCTATTTTGGTGTAGTTGCAGGAGTGAATCTTAAAGTCACTTAATTCTCCCAATATTCAAAATAAATGTCAATAAAGTTATCTGTAGACAAACATATATGCCAATATTACAATGTGTACATATTTTTCATTTTATGTGCATGAAATAGGGAAAAAGAAGAAGAAACTAACCACATGTCTTCAGGTACCAATGGCTCTTCACGGAGAAAAGCTTCGAGGCAAGTGTACAAGGATAGAGGTTCAGTACGAGTTTTCTTCGTCACGGGCCCATATTTGTACACTTCCGGCAAGTTTTCCAAGTAATGCGCATCATAATTCTCCAGAAGCTTCCCTGACCAGTCAATAAATACTAGTATTGATATTGATGATGATGACAATTTAACAGCTTTATCTTCTCCAACTGATAGGTCAATGCATGCATTGTTTTCATCAACCAACTGCAGAGGCAGTTTTGGTAAGTTCACTGATTTTGAGCTGCCACCATCCTTTTGTGTTGAATCTGCTACATTGGAGTCTGTACATGCTTCAATGGAATTAGTGGTTTGAGATGGATCCGAAGCTGATAGTGAGGTGTTAGTATCAGAGATATCAGGATGTCCCACATTCTCAGTTCTTAGCATGGGAGAGAGCATTGTGTGAACCATTGACTGTATATCACCTCTTGTAATAATTTCATCACATGAGATTGGTGAAACAAGAGGAGTTCCGTATGGTTTCCAACCCATTGTGCTCTGGGCATTACCAGTTTCCCTAAAAGACGAACATGGTATTAAACTACAAAACAAAAACAATTGAGTAAAAATAAACAAGTGAAGCTTAACAGAGAAAACGACCCATCAACCAACATGGGTATTTTTTATGCTTTAACACCACGTTCATTTCTGGATTAATTTAGAAGGGGATTAGATACCATGGGATTCTGATAGGGAATAGTGGGCTAAGTAATACCATGGCACGGATTCGATTACATACACTATAGGATTAGTTGCATTATGTCAGGTTAGGGAGGAATGAATGATGGGACAAGGGAGAAGGATCATTTCAGTTCGTTGAATGGAGGGAGGGAGATAATCCCATGGCCTGGTATAAATAATACCATGGATGAGGAAGTATTACTTATACCCCATTATATGGATCATTAATAATCCCATGCGCTTAATACTGGGGATGGAAATAGAACCAAACCGGTGATAAAAAGACATGGGGGAGACGCGTGGGCCCCACACGTCTTTTTATCTCATAATCCCATCCTCAATACTGCAAACAAACACACACACAACTGGTGCTGGTAGCTCCAATATTAACACATTTCAACTATAAAAAATATCCACAATGTTGCAATCAATATAGATAATCAAAACTGAAGGAAACCACAAAACTAGCCACTAAACAAATCTCTGGTAGACCCCAACTATGCAAAGCAGCACTTGCTCAAAAGAAATGTATAGGAGTAGCTGTAGAAGAGTTTAAACTGAGAACTAATCAATCAGAAAAAGTCAGAAGGGGGTGTAGCACAAAGCCAACTGGTAAAGAGAGGTCCATTTTTTGTCTGCCCCTAATCAGTAAAATAGTGGGTATGGATTGAAATACATACTGTTCTTCCCGGCGGTGTATCAACTGAAGAAACTTTGTATTCTTCACAAACTTTGGAATCTTGTAAGCAGCAAGGTGATCATCATCTTTTATGGAAGACAACGATATTAAAGGATCTTCCAAGAACCGGTGAATCAAATGACCTCTTATCTATCAAAAACACACTTGAATAACTTAATCCAATTAAAAAGAAAATCAACAACTTAAACCAGAAATTTTCATAGAAAGAAAGAAAGAAAGAAACATAATCAAATAATTGGATATAGGAGAGTAACTAACTATTCACCTCTGCTAACAAAAGTTTCTCATTATGCTTTAAGGAACAAGCATTGCTAATGGCTTGGATCAAGTCCCTGCAACGTCCCTGCTTTTGAACAGTTACAGTGCAAGCACTTGGTAGTGCACTTCCATCACAAGTAAACACTGTCACTGTCATAGTACGAGTGGTGGTGGATTGGAGCGGTAAGGAAAGATACATGAAGGGATCAAATGTAACTGAGATTTTATTACAAACAGGACAAACCAGAGTTGACTTGTATTGGCCCTGTAAGATGCAGTACAAGAAGATAACAAAATTAAGAGGACAGGCCAAAGTCATTAGTGTCGATAAAAAAAATAAAGGGGAAAATAACTAAATATATAAAGAAAATATGGGAATCAGTAGCAATATATTGTAGAACAACACAATCAAAAGCAACAAATGAGAGACGGACACACTGAATCATATTATCCTGATCACCGATGTTATGAGATTGAAATATCTTAGCAAACCATTGTCTGATCCATATTTACTTGATAACAAAAAAATATGTCAACGTGATATAAGAAAGGAAAACGCTTAATCTGGCAAATAGTAGAAAATATCTTGATTTCTCCTTAAATAATATCTTCCACACAAACTCTAGCCCAGGTGATTTGTACAAATCCAAGCAATATCTAAACAATGTTCAGTTGTCTACACCAATTTTGGCCTCGTTTGGCAACATCACATTTTAGCTTAAAAGTCAAAAAGTCATTAAAAAAGCCAAAAATCCAACAAACTAAACAAAAAAGTCAAAGATTCCATTTTCTCTCTACTTTTTGCACATCTTTTCGTAAAAAACTAAAAAGTTATCCCAAACATACTAATTTTTTTTACCTCATATTTTAACCGAAAAACCGAAAAATTACTAAAATAGTTTGTTCCCAAACGAGGTCTCAAAATGCTATCAATACAAGTCAACAAACATGCATTGCAGATGATAAGTTTCATATATACCGTAAAGACAAGTAATTTATGATGGTAGTAAAGAGTGAAAACCAAGTTATTGTTCCCACAAAGGGAAAAAAATCTTTGGCAAGACTGTCTTTGATAGGAGTCCACTTCTAATATCTTTGAGCAATGCAGTCATAATCCAATCTCATTCTTCCTCGACATTTGCATTCATGTGCATACCAACAAAATTACATCAAACTTTAAACCAAATTACTTGGGGCCATGGTTGTTACGGGTGGTTACCAGCGATGCCCACCTAATCAGGCTGTGGGTTGGGCACTTGCCTAGGACTTTGGGCACCCCACCTAATCGCCTAGTAAACGAACCTCACTCATTAAATTCCATAAAAGGGCTGGACTGGCTTAAAAATCATAAAAGCAAGTCAACAAAATGTGTTGGGCATGGTTGTCACGGTGGTTACCAACAAAATTACATCAAACTTTAAACCAAATTACTTGGGGCCATGGTTGTTACGGGTGGTTACCAGCGATGTCCACCTAATCAGGCTGTGGGTTGGGCACTTGCCTAGGACTTTGGGCACCACACCTAATTGCCTAGTAAATGAACCTCACTCATTAAATTCCATAAAAGGGCTGGACTGGCTTAAAAATCATAAAAACAAGTCAACAAAATGGGCCAGTTGGCTTAAAACATTGTCTCCCTGACCTCTTGTTGCTTTCCTTCATTTCCCACTTTTCAGTTTGCCGGCTGTGACCCATTTGGTTACAGTAGCCAGAAAAAGAACTTGAAAATTGAAATAACATTTGTCCCTAAAATTTAGTATTTGAACAATTAAGATCAGCTCATTTTGTTGTAATTCATTAAAAAAATTGTAAAAAAATTCTACACCATTAAACTCGCTATTACTTACAAAAGTTTTCTTTTGTTTATTAATTTATTTGGGGTGGGGTTTTCTTTTGTTCATAAAATAGGGTTTCATTTTGGAGTCCATGTCCTGCCCATTGCTTGGATCTTATGTTAAAAGACATTACAAAGCTTAATTACGCCAGACTGGGTAAACATCTCAAGCATAACTATGCATATTAACTATGCCTACCAAACCAGAATCAAGTGTAGTTGTAAAGAATATTACTCAGCAAGTAACATCTAATAGGAGTATCCAGAGGATGCTAACAACTGTTAACAACAGCAATTTATTTGAGCAATCCAGCTTTATGCACAGAATTATCGATGTGAAAACTTCCAACTATCAAAACCATATTTTTACAAAGATAATAATTTACAGGTGGTAGCATCTATATATGTTTCTAATTTTAAGTAACTCAACTTAATCTCATAACAGAAACTAGATATTTAAATGTGAAAACCATAAAAACCGTGTGCGATTTCTCAAATCAAAACATTATAATGGTGTCAATGCAATGCTTACTTGGCACACATCCACAATTATGGAATCATTACGAGCAATGTGATTCGCCCAATATTCATCAGCAACTTCTTCATCAGGTCTGCCATCTGCATCTCTTGATTTTATGTAAGGCTTGTGTTTTACACGATTCAGATCTTCGTGAAGCCCGTCTAACAGAAATGCAAGGAGTTCCTGAATAGAAACTAACCATTTAGCTGTCAACTGCACTGAATCCACACTCTGCCTGAATTCATGAACTTAATTTGATAGATCAAACCTGAGAATCATGCTGATTGTATCCACTAAATTGAGGTGCAAAGCGAGCAAGCTTCACTTTAAATGGCCGAGGAGCAACTGGAGTTCGTCCAGGTGCCCACAATTTTCGGAGTAAGTCACCAAAGGCCAGAGCTAGCTCCCCCTGCATGTAACATAGCTTCAAATGAGTTGAATGATAACTCGACAGATCAACCCCATCAGTGGCCTAAAAGTTTTTGGAGATAATTTTCAAATTCAAACAATATTCAGAACAACCAAAAACTTAAGAAGGCTAATCCTTCAACAATAAAACAAAAAAAAGGACTGGCCTCAATGGGTATGTCTGGAACAAATGATCCCTACAGCAACAAACAATTAGGTTCTATGGAAGTAAAAAAGTATAAATAAATAAAAAAATAATTCCATTTTTAACTTCTATTTTTTAAAAACTTCAGAACTGTTATTTTTATGTATTTAGAATCTGTCTAGAATAGGCAAAAATAAGGCTATTTTTTAAGGTTTAGAAAAATATAGAATTTATCTATCCCATTCGTGTGAAAAGTTAAAATGTTTCTTTACTAGCAAACCTAAGTGTCTTCTTTAAACATCATATAAACTTAGTGGATCCAAGCATCTAAATTGAACATGGGTATTGAACATACATCCCACACCACTAAGCTTGTCATACTCGGTGGAGACGAGTACAGGGGCAAGTAGAAGAGTCCATGTAACATGAAAGGCAAAAACAGGCAAAAAAATTAGTCCACTTATAAGTTGACCTAATTGAGTAGACTTTGCACCAACCAACAGAAAACATGAATCTATCTCTGTATGAAATAAACAAAAATCATACAACAAAAACACCTTGAAGACAACAGTCATTCAACTTTGTCAAAACTGATATTGAACTTACTGTCATCAGGTCAACTAGACTCCACCTTTTAAGCCAGATTTTACAAAGGTTCAAGGTAAAGCTTCCAGGAAAATAACAAACTTAATCACTTCACTCCCTATTATTGCATCTAAAAGTTACCACCATGCCCAAAGGGTTCTACCAGTTTATTTCCCAACTATATTCCACCTTTGGCCAGATTTTACGAGTGTTCTAGGAAAAGTTTCTGGTAAAACACCAAACATAATCACTTCACCCCTATTATTGAATCTAAAACTTACCACCATGCCCAAAGGGTTATGCCAGTTTATTTCTTTATGGTAATCTTCTCGAAAATATCTAGCAAACTCTGGTGTATGAACAAGGCATTGTATTGCACTATTCATAAAGCATGTGTTTCCAAGATTCAACAATCCAGTCAGACCACCAGAAGACCCCCTTGTGGTAACACCAGTGACACCACTGATCCCATGAGTGTTGTCCGATTCTCTACCAGGGGATGTTACGTTCTGAAATTGTGATGACTCCGTATTGCAATTTCTTGACAAGCCTTTGCTTGCAGATAACCCTCCTGCAATTGAAAAGCCAGACTTAGAAGGCTCTACAAGAACCAAGGTTGTTTCCTTGTCAGCAGATCCATTCTCCTGAACAGAACTCATGCAACCACCTAATGCAGCATGACTGTTATCAACAACCTCCACCAAAATCTGTTTCAAGTAATTGCATAAAAAGAGAACAAGTCGAATGTTAAAAACATGGAGGAGGCACAGGTAATAAAAAATGCAAAAACCAATATCGCTATTAAGATAGAGGACATCATCTATGCATGTAAATGGAACTTCCAGATTTCAACACAAATATCAAGTGTAAAACACAGCAATATCCTAAAATCTAGAAGCAGTGCACGATACACTTAAGAAATTTTGTGTGATTTTAAAGAACATCCATATCTATAGGTTAGTTGCAATGCTTTCTTTCTTTTATTTTGAGAGACAGAGAGAGAGAGAGTGTGTGTGTGTGTGTTTATTTAAAATTCAAAGTGAAGGCAGCAACCAAAAAAAATAGAAGCAAACAATGACTGCAGGCATCAAAGCATCAAATATTGGAGAAAGTATCTACCTTTTCAGTTATGAGTGCCATATTTTTTGCAACAACTTTAAAAATCATATAAGGGTAACAGCATACTTGTCTACTGAACTGTAAACATGTGCCAAAAAGTATTCAAATATTGCTACACAATAAGGAAGACAATCGACAAGAATGTTGGGTGGTGGTGGTGATGACAATTGACAAGAATGCTGTGTTAACAGTGTTGGGTCTCGGATGGAAGATAGGGAGTTGATTGTGTATAAGCGCGGTTGCGATTGAAATCACAGAGGACGCATATCTATGTATGTGTACAGTCTTCAATCAAGCTCTCAAATTCTAATTGGTGATGGAGATGGTTATGGGTCAAGAAATTGCTGAGAAAACAAGGGTGATGGCACATAGTTGTAGTGGTGGTGCGGGTGAGAGGGAGGAGGTGGGGTTGGTGGCGATGCTAGTGCCAGTGCTGGTGCATGAAGGATGGGTGATAGAGGGGAGAGAGAAGGAATGGATCTTTGGTTGGGAGAATAACATTTGTGGAAATGTTTGGGAACAAGGATAATTTCAGTACTTAAAGGTCAAAATTACCTGACATAAGAATTTTTCATTACCATTTTTAATAGCTAGATCATGGATGGGACGTCTAAGATCACCAAAAGTAAGATAGGGCAGTGTAATTTCATGAGCAACACGAGAGGTCTCTGTAATTGTCAAAAACTTCAAGGGCAATGTAATTTCATAAACAACACGGGAGGCCTCTATAATTGTCAAAAACTTCAAGGGAGGTCCATGTAGCTAGCCTAAATTTAATTATTGAAAAATCCAATCTGAATGAGACTCTAAACAGTAGCTCTTCATTGCAAATTTTTGGAATGCGTCGAAAGGCCAACCACAGGAATGGATATGTAGGTCATTAGAGAAGCAAAATAAGTAACTTTCAAGTGGCAAAAATTGCGAATGGATTGATTTCAAGGCAACACTCATTTAGAACCTTGCATACCAGGGTTCAAGTCTTGGAAGTCTCTTAGCTTATGTTTACTTCTAGGTTGCCAAGTTGGTTACGGCAATTGGTTAGTTTTATATACTCCTTATATTCTTAGAAGCCAGGTGGAATATTTGTAGTGGTCATGATGGCTCAAGCACACTTTTTTGGGTCTTTTGTCCAAGTTTTAGTAAACTCATATAGGTTATGCCCGTCAAATTCTTAGTTTCCAAATAGGAAGTCCAAATCTGAATAGTTTAGGATCTCTTAAAAGTCCATGTATAGTTGGACGCAATCCTATGTGAATCTATGTGTGCTACCTAATTTATACTTCTACTTCTCTACTGCACTGAATTAGCATTTAAAGCCCCAAAACCATATCTACTTCATCATTTCTCCTAACCCAAAATCATATTTTACCAACCCTAAACCTTTCCTTTTAAATCCTTCAACTCTAACCACTACGCATCATTTGAAATCAACTGCTTATTAATATTCACAGTCGTACTATCACAGCTCCAAACCCTTGCCTCTCTTTGTAAAATCATAGCCCTAAACTCTCCCCCTTCTCTTGTATCCAAACAAACTCTTAAAACTCTATTGTTTTGCCCACTAGTTGCAACAAAATCTTAGCATAATCAGTCTCTAAAAAACTTTTCTCATCACTGCCTAACATCAATTTTTTTGGCATCAGAATTGTTGAAGTCTGCCCCTGCCCTGCTCATATTTCATACATCAAATGGTTAGTAAGTGCATCATGTCAATGTGCAGCTTATGATGTGGTAAGTAAGGACGGATAGTTGACCTAAGGTAGGTGTTGCCTTGTCAACATTGATAAACATTAATCTAAATACAGTAATACATAATTATAGTACTTTTCAACAGAATTTAGTACCTTAAAGCAGATAGAATGCAAACACCAGAAACTCTTAACAATTTGATGTTGCCAAAAATAAGAGACCAAATAATTGAAGAGCTTCATTTATCAAGCTTGGCTCAAACCAAAAACCAATTACAGAGGAACATGAAGGATTTGTTTCTTCAACAATTGGAATTTGTTTTTAGACAATAACAGATGCTTGCATGATTAACAGCTAGAGAACTGCTCAATATTGACAGAGGGCAAAAGCTTAAAAGCATAGAACATGATTTTTTACATCAAATAAATATACACACAGCAGCTACATCCATAATTTATCAACCAAAGCACATCAAATGTAAACCTGGTTTTCAGATGCCAAACTGATTTTTCTATAGCAGACACAGAAGTATTAAATTAAAAAGATGATAAGTGGCATAACAGAAAAAGACTCACATCCTGATCCATTTGTATGTTGGCATCATCAAGCGTTTTGTCCAAATCATTCATCAAGGCATGTTTTCGGCGGCCATAATAGTCCCAAATCCATACCTGCACCAGAGGAAAATTTTGAATACTGAACAACTAAGAGAAAATTGATCTTCAAGAGGCAAAGTAAAATTCTAGAAAATGGATCAACTAAATAGAAAAAATATATAGGCTATTTACTTGCTCCGAATTAAGATCAAAAATCTCACAAGCTCTTCTGTGAAGCTCTCCAATGGTTTCCTGTCCAAATTTATTCAATTTCAAATAATATGTCCAGAATACTTAAAATACATCATTTGTAGGGGAAGGGGACGAAGGGTAGAAAGGGAGGCAGTGTATCAAGGAAAAGAAAGCAGTTCATCACGACACAGTCTACCAGCATACCTTTTTGCTAATTCTTATGGTAGCTTTGTCACCTTTTGGCATCAGATATAACTGAAGGCGCAAGGGATACACTTCCACGGCCAATTCTGTTTGAGATAGACCAGAATTGATTACTTTTCGAGCCAATGTAGGGCCCCCTCCATACCTAAACCCAACAAACACTAGCATTGATTCCTCAATACAGACAGTAGATATCCTTAAGAGTGGTGTAACGCCCTCTAAAGATGATCCAATTTTATAATATCCATCTTTAGAACAGAGAAAGAAAGAGAGGGAGAGAGAGGAAGCAACCAACATATAGCTAACTTTTAAACCATCCTCAAATTTCTGAGAAAATATGCTAATTTCTAGTTTTGTATTTTACATGCAATCCTGTCACATACTTGACCATGAATATTTACATGGAATGAGTTGATTCAAATTGAGCAATGCCTCAATTCCAGCTTTCTTTATATCTAATCCCAAGATGCATCTAGATATTTTTAGGGCCATTTCATAATAAATGGTTTTTTTTTTAAATACATTCAGTTTCCACATTTAATGGAAAACCACCGCCATATGTTTGAGTTCAAAATGACATGTTAGAAGTTTTTACCTCGCCCTAATGGTTACGAGCAATAGAGCCCAAAGGATTGATGCTTATCATAGAGGACAGATCAGTAGGAAGATGTTCTTGTTCACAATGAGTCAGCACCATTATTCATGAACAACCTATTTTCCAAAACACATTTGGATATGAATCAATTGTAGCATATTATCATATTAGTACTCAGATGAGGCCCTTTCCTAGAACAAAAAGTAATAAATATTTCCTAGTTTGACTGTTAAAGGAATGGAAGCCACAATTCAAGGCATTTCCCGGTGTTCATGTATAAACTTATTTTGAGTTTTGTATTACAGCATGTATACACTTTTATATGAATATAGAGTAGTGGCTACCATAGCAGGCAATCCCATTTATGATTTCCCAATCTATAAGCTTATTAAAAAAAATGTCCCATACAAGAAAATAAATAACAAAGAACAAAAACTTGTCCATTTTAGTTAACCTACCATGCATATAACTGATTCCAAACTTCTTGTGGAAGCAATATGTAATCAGTGCCTTCTACTAGAGTATCATGGAGCTCAATACCAATAGTGGAGTCCTCTGATGCTGCTTCATATATTAAATCAGAATTGTCAATAGCAGATGGCCTCTTTAAATTGCTTAAAACAACTGAATCAGGCCTCTCAGAAGAGGATCCATCATTTGCAATAGTTGCCTGGTTTTGGTTGACATACTCCAGCCAATCTTGCCACCATCTGCGATCAACCATTGGCAAGGAAATCAAAGTCTTAATATTCCTTTCCACTAAAAAATAATTAAACAATAGATTAGGGCTTAGAAGTGTAAAATATCTTTAAGATCTTATAAAAAAAAAGTAACCATGACAATAACAAGCCAATATAAGCTAAATAGCTTTGTCAAATCTCTACTACGAAGGTAAATCCAAAAAAGAATTGCAACTTAATTGGCACAATTTATCTAGGCTTTTTGCCTAAGGTTGATGTGAGAGAGAAAGAAAAATGATTGCTCGAGTGGGTAGAAAAAACTTAGGCTCTGTTGTCTTCCATCTAAGACCTCCCAGCTGTTGCCAAGGTTCGTATGATTGTTTTGTTTCAATTTCAAATTCCGAATTTACCAGGAAAAGAAAAAGAAGATGAGCCTACATGTTTAAGAAAAAAACATCTAAGACAATAATAAAGTTCATCTCTCTCTCTCTCTCCCAAAAAACCAAACAGGAGAAGTATCATTTTTCTTAATACATGATAAGCACACCATCAAACAACTAAAAACAGAGATAATTAATCATGCTCCAAACATGTCTAAAATAAAATTAAAAAAATTGCTGCTAGACATTTAATTTCAGTTGAAACAGACAAAGTAGGTGTTTGGCATGCACTAAAAAAGTGCACTTTTTTTGCATACACACACTTATTTGGGTGACATCAAACAACATCTCCTCTCTACTTTTCTACTCACTTTCTCTACTTTTCTACGCATTTTTTTTATAAAAAGTCAAAAAGTGCACTTATTTAGAACATCCCAAACCACCCGTAAATAATTGAATATCAAGCAAGGTCAATTTCTAAAGAAAATAGGAAACAAGAACATTCTTGTTTCCTGGAACAAGCAAGAATGGAAAACTTTCAGCAATTCGTGAAATATGGTTCACTAATAACTTAACAAGCTTCAACAGCATGAAGAGCCAGTGGCAAATTCAGGGTAGAGCTTCAAATAGTATACATGGTAGTTGTTTCTTTTCATGCAACAGGTACTCCCATCTGCAACATCAACCACTTAGCCAAGGAACTCCTATCAAAAAAGGATAATGGCTAATTTTTTAAAAGAAAAAATACTAGTAGAATTGAGAGAATAAAAAAATAAATAAAGTTGGGCCCACCTGCATCCATTATAACATTTTGCTGGAGTCCAGCAGTCTAGAGGAACTTCATGGTAATGTTAAAGAACTACTCCCATGAAACTAAGGGCAGGCAATGACAGCACCTAGTATCTCACTAAATCTGAAGCACAATAGAGCCGCTGATGTCTCAAATTTTCTAACTGTCAGGCTAGTGATAAGCTTGTATTAGAAAGCAGCTCTTCAATGACTTGAAAAGTAGACATTCTGCAAAACCTCACTGCCATATTTATTGCCCTTGCTAGAACTATTACACATAATGTATTCTATATTAGTATTTAGTAGAGAGACATGAGTGTGTCATATTTCGACCCCAAAAACTTCAGCTTTGGTTGATGGTGGTGAAGTTGCCAACGTTCCATAAGGGTTCAAGGGGTATCAAATCGGGTGAATTTAGATTCTCCACTAATTTCACATTGGAAAACCACTCTGAGCATTAATTGAAATTTTGAGGCACAAACTGTTGTCTAAGTGGACCCAGTTCCATCAGTGGTTCCACCACTATGAATGCATATCCATTTGTGTCCCATCTTCACTCAACATTCAACAATCAACTACTTTTGGCCACAATTTCATGACCTAAAAACATTTTCAAGTATATTACTGCCAACTTTTACTTTAATTTAATTTTTAAGCCTAAGTGAGAATTGAAAAGAGCTCAGCTGATTGCAAATCATGGGTTCAAAATTAAGCCCCATCTAGCAACAAATTTTGTATTACTGATGAGACTTAGAAATGATGACATCAATGCCCACAATGATTGTCAACTATGGAAGGGGGCAAACCATTGAAGTTCAACGACATAAATATTATTCTTACCCAACTTTCCACCATCCAGCTTTGCAGTTGATCATGTTTCACTTGTTAACATTCCCAACAGTGCAACCTAGGTGGCAACTGATCTGAATTGTTGCGGGTAAGTGATAGCCAGTCAACAGTACATTAGCCTAGCAAAGAATTATGCGCATATCTAGCCAAAAAAAAATATATATTAAGAAATGACCTAGGCATCACTATGAAAACAGCCCTGTTGAGCAAATGGCTTTGAAGGTTTGTTCAAAAACATAACAGCTAGCGAGATTTGCTATAATGCCAATATTCAGGCTATCCAGTAACTAGAGAATCATCAACTTTAAGTAAATTGCTCTGTCGTAGCAATTCAATGATGCCTGCAGTTACAAAAACACTATGAGAGGAGGACCAGAGCAAGAAAAAGGGGGGCAAATTTTTCCGCACCAAGGTGGCAATACTTAGTGTTATGTGCAAACTTGTTCAAGAACTGAAACAAAATGAAAAAGAGAGAGACTTTAAAGAAAAGCAGAGACAAATGTCCCCTGCTACAACATTCCCAACATAACCACATTAGTGGCCAGCATTGTGACCTCAATTCATCCAAATTGAGGATAGAACGAAGTATACAGGAAAAAACATAAAGACTACCCTAAATTTCCCTCCTATCCTATCCTGTACACATTCGCTAGCAAAAACAAAGCCCACATACCCTGAATTTTCCCTCCTATCCTATACGCATTCGCTAGCAAATTCCAACTACAAACCCTAACCATTAATACCGGTCTCAATTCTAGGGGTTGCGAGTGGAGATCTAACAAAATAGAAACATCACAAACATCTAAGAACAACAATCTGAACAGAGCTTTCACATAAAGGTTTGAATACATACATACACATTTATATAGTACCTTTGAGTGATTAAATAAAAAGTATCGCCTTCTTTGGTCTGGGCTTCAACGCCCATCGAAATGTCCCTAATCGTGAGTTTCTCTTCCTCCGGCGACAGCTCCGGCGAACTACTCACTGCCATCTCCGTCATCTCTCTCTCTCTCTAGAAAATCTGGTGCTTCTTCTGATCAGTGAAGAAGAGACAAAGCTTTTCAAGAAATAGAGAAACTTTTAGGGCAAAAATGGAAGAGAACTCTCTCTTTCTTAGTCATAGGCTTCGTGTCTTCTTCTCGGATCCATTATATATCGGTACGGACCAGTCCAGTCTCCACCGGACCGGAAGTGGGGAGGAGGGTTTCGCTTTTCTAGTCCCAAATTAAATTTTGCCATGTCATACCGGACCGGAAGTGGGGAGGAGGGTTTCGCTTTTCTAGTCCCAAATTAAATTTTGCCATGTCATCTTAAATTAAATAAATAAAATATTACACTAAATAAATAAAATATTATACTGAGGTCAAGTTTGGCTATTACAAAATAATTTTTTTTTTATCATCATTTCTTTACTTTTTTGTACTATTTTTTTATTTTTTGTACTATTTTGTTATAAAAAAATAAAAAATATATTTATTTAGATCATCCCAAACAACCCTTGATTTTTGTAAGGTCTATAAAATTACAATAATTGGTTTAACAATAAACTATTTTAATAATTTTTAAATTTTTTTTTTGTTAAAATGTGGGTGAAAAAAATTAATATATACGGCATATTTTTTGATTTTTAAATTTTTTTAATGACTTTTTACCTTTTATAGGAAGTTGCCAAATTTAAAATTTTGATGTAATTATTCATTGGTAATTTCTTAGTTACATAGATCAAAAAAATTATACATTATCATTGAAATTTATATTTTATATTTTTTGTGTGATTATATTAAAATTGTAGGATTTTTTTTTCATCTCTCTCTCTCTCTAGAAAATCTGGTGCTTCTTCTGATCAGTGAAGAAGAGACAAAGCTTTTCAAGAAATAGAGAAACTTTTAGGGCAAAAATGGAAGAGAACTCTCTCTTTCTTAGTCATAGGCTTCGTGTCTTCTTCTCGGATCCATTATATATCGGTACGGACCAGTCCAGTCTCCACCGGACCGGAAGTGGGGAGGAGGGTTTCGCTTTTCTAGTCCCAAATTAAATTTTGCCATGTCATCCTAAATTAAATAAATAAAATATTACACTGAGCTCAAGTTTGATTATTATAAAATAATTCTTTTTTTTTTTTTATCATCATCTCTTTACTTTTTTATATTATTTTTTTTATTTTTTGTACTATTTTGTCATAAAAAAATAAAAAGTATATTTATTTAGGTCATCCCAAACAATCCCTGATTTTTGTAAGGTCTATAAAATTACAATAATTGGTTTAACAATAAACTTTTTTAATAATTTTTTAATTTTTTTTTTGTTAAAATGTGGGTGAAAAAAATTAATATATACGGCATATTTTTTGATTTTTAAATTTTTTTAATGACTTTTTACCTTTTATAGGAAGTTGCCAAATTTAAAATTTTGATGTAATTATTCATTGGTAATTTCTTAGTTACATAGATCAAAAAAATTATACATTATCATTGAAATTTATATTTTATATTTTTTGTGTGATTATATTAAAATTGTAGGATTTTTTTTTCAATTCTTAATAAATGTCAATGTAATTTACCAAAAATATTGTAATTATTGTTGCATAAATTATATTTATTTTTTATATAATTCATTACTTTTTCTATTATAAATTCTTAGAGTTAGAATTATCCAATCTAATTATTTTATCATTATAACCAATGTTAGTGTAGTTCTTCTATTTTTTTTTAACAAAATTTGAAAGACAACTTTAACACCCAAGTACAGCATAATTTTGAAAACTTTGTATGATTTTAAATTTAAAATTTTAGTAAGATTCACTAAAATTATTAAAATAAGCTAATTTATGTATATTGATTGTATTTTTATATATCTATTTTTTTGTTTGGGCTCTTACATCTTAATTTAAGAAATATAATAATATTGTGAATCCATGACCAAAAAAATTCAAAATACATGTCTTTGTCAAGAAGGATGTTACAACAGAAAGTCACTTTTTAATTTTTAACATATTTTGAGACACATTACCTTTTTATTATTTTACATATTTTTTAAAAAAAATTAAAAAATCAACTTTTAACTAAACTTTCCAAAATAAGCCTAAACGAAGCACAACCAAACATGCCTTATTGTGACTTTCAACTTCGGAATTGAGTTCAATTTGACACCGGCGCGCGCGCAAGAAAAAAGAAAAAAGAAACACCTTCGTAATTGAATTCAAGGTCCAATTGATGTTTGGGAGAAGCAATCCATCTATCTCAAAATCTCAAACCGGAAATGTACACTATCCTTGGGACTGCATGTACCCATTCATTCTAGGGAAAAATTCTATGTCACCTGTTTTTTTGTGAAATAATCAAGAAGCCTAAGATGATTTGTTTGTTATTTTGAAATAATCATTGAGTGCGCTCAAAAATAAATAAATAAATAAATAATCATTGAGAACACAAGAAGCCAAAGATGAACAGCTTTTCCTTCAATTCATTTACAGAGTCAAGAATTATGACAACCAACTAGTAAGTATTCACACACGACACACTCTTGTTCAAAACATACTATACAAGTTACTTCCCAAAAATCAATAATGTTGTGTTTGATTAGGAGATTTGATGAGGGATTTATAAATGGAAAGGAAAAAGAAAAGGAAACGGAAAAGGTAGGTGAAATATGAATAAAATATACCTACATATCACCTAATTTCACACACATTTTTTCTTTCCTTTTCCAAATCTCTCATCAAATTCCCTAACCAAATACAGCGTAAAGGAAAAAGATTAAAACAAATTATACAGAAATAAAGTACTAAAACAAGACTGTTTGCATCTAAAGGTATTGGAAACACTAAAAGCACTTCAATCTCCATTTCGAACTGAAAAATGAACCGGACCCTAATTAACTAGTTTATTCTAATTTCATATCATAATCGAAATATCCCAACTTGAGCAGAAGAGTTGGAAGCAAAATCAGTAAGCCCATGTGGAAGCTACGATCAGGAATTCTTCTGCAAGGATGGCGGAGGAAGGATGGAGTTAGCTAGCTCTTCGTTCAACTTCACTGGAAGTGGTGGCATCTGCTTCATTATCTCCGGCATGTCATTCATGCTGCAATTCAAATTAGCATACATGACTAACATATCACTCGATTATTCAGTGTAATGGAATATGATGCACACGTGAACTTGTATGCATGTCAGGGCAAGATTTTCAAATATTAAATGCTACCATTGTGCACTAACTGTCACGGGACGTAACAGCCTCCCCCTTGGGATAATGCGTTTGACCTTTGAATGCTATACAATGCTGAATCCTTAATCTTTTGTGGGATGCAAAACACACCCTTCAAACTTTTTAAAAAATGTAAAAAAAGACATTCTCAAGATGCCACATCATGAAAGGTATTCAAAAGGACAATCAATCATGCTAAAATTGAGCATTTTGAGGGGGATGCTTAGCCTTGTCTTCCGGATATTTCTTCTCAAAGTAGTCAGTTTCTTTTGGTCCTAAAATGCAAATACAGAATAACTAGAGAAACTTGATCCCAAAAAAAACTAAAGTAAAATGTCTCTGGAAACTGGAAGAGTGGCAGCAAATACAAAGTAAAAATGATGGTGAACAAAAATAGTGTGTAACTAACTAAACTGCCATACAAGGTTTAAAGCTAATATTCAAACATGTAAAACATATAATTTAAGTGAGAAATATGAACTAATGTTATAAAAGATCATGCTGATAATGACAGAACAACAGCCACAAAGCACAGAAAGCATCTGACATACTCGTTCAATATTGTGAGGATGTTATTTTGAGTTTGGCAAAAGAGATTGATGTTTTCATGTATCTGCAAGAAAAAAAGAAACAAGACTGCATAGGCATCATCAATCTGCTACCAGGTATAAAGCTTCTGTGTTTGATTCAGCAATGAAATCAATATATTAGAAAGCAAGAATCATTTTAATAAAGGTTATTTATCGACTCCAGAAACAACAAGGAGTACTTCACAGACCAAAGGTTGGGACATGTGCCGGTGGGTTCAGATCTATAATTAATGGGCCCCACATAAAAGATTACTGATGCCAAAACAAGACGGTTGAATGAATGTTCACAATTTGTAATTGATAAACAGATTACAGTGGAGTGTCTAAAATCTAAGAAGTACAAACACTTCTAAGAAGGTGGTATGTCCATGTCCAAAAATGACACTCATTGAACACTTCCAATACCTGTCGGACATACGTTTAAACATGACCTGTTATTATTATTATTTTTTTTTCTTCTATAGATGGACATGCTATATAACTATGCATAAACTTTCATTTTATACATAAACTGCTCTTTTTTTAAGTTTGCCAACACCATTTCACCTATAAAAAATAATATTTAAGAAATATGAAATCTACTCGTGTCTTAAGTGTCTTGGCCATGAAAGTTAGATAAATCTGGCACTTAAAGGTACATACCAACACCCTACACTTGTCCCTGAATCCACGTAACATAGTTCTAGACTATCCTCTTACCAACACAAAAGTAACAAAAAATCATCAGGGGTCTTTGATGCTTACATAAATTGAATTTGCCCACTGGGTTATCCACATCACTTGGAAACTAAACTTTGCAATATCACCGTATAACAGTGAAATCAATGAACTCACTCACATAAAATATAAGGGATGCATTGAAATCCTGATAGATTTTCATTATTTACAAATGCCTTAACAAAGTATTTGAAACGTTATCAAAAGCACAACACATTTTCAGTTCAATCCTACATAAAACACACTTGACTGATGCAACAGCTACCTAAATGCTAGAGCATTTTATTATATGAAAATTCATATAAATATCTGCCATTTTACATAGAGCATTAAATAAATACCTTGTCATATAATTAATTAGCAAAAACAAGATTCACATAACTATAAATTCTTGAATACCATCTTACAAGTCTATCACAACCACGAAACCCAAAGATTCTAGGAAGATTATTTTTTTTCTTTACTATTATATTATCCATGACTCCAAAACAATAAACCATTTATGTTACCCTCAAAGATGCAAAATTCGCAGAAATTTGTTCCAAGGCTTGGCCATTTTGCTCAAGAAGCTCTCCTTTCACGCCACCAATAGCTGCAACATACAATGCAATGTACATTGTGACTACAATGCAGGAAGAATTACAAGAGGGAAAAAATATTTTGTACCTTCAATATGTACTAATGGTCATAACCAAACAAGTAACACATGAATTGGAATTATGCTCTCCTCTGGCTGTACCATTTCTTGGTCAATGTAAATATCACCATGTACAAGTAAAGTAGAAAAATTCAACACATCCACCAGTACTGCAATATTAACAACCATCAATTCCAAAAGGTTTAATTTCGGGTTAGGCCACCAGATTCAATTGACCTGGAGAAAATTCATTTTTTACAAATTTTTTGTTTAAACTTTTATTAGACGTGGAATTCTTGTGTTAGATTCTAGTTCTTGACTTCTTGGTTGCTATTAGGATGAATCCCAAGACTGAGTTGAGTCAGCCATTCACCAGCTGTCTGCCAACTTTATTAGGTGGATCATTAATGCATGAGAAGCTACATTGTGTTTTCTACCACTCACTTCTCTTACAGTTCTGAATGAACTGAACTACACTGGACCATTGCTTTTTCAGTAGTGATGGGACCATTGCTTTTTTGGCCAGTAACACATAAATATATTTACTTGGGGGAGGATGGGAAAGGAGAGGCACAAGCGGTTTAAATGATGAGCAACATGATTAATTGGAGGAGTGAGTTTGATGCCCATACAAGCGCATATTGCCGGTCATTTTACAAAATTTTCTTGAGCTAACTACATTTTTTTAAGAGTTAGGTTCTGTGTCCATACAAAAGGAGTTCCATGGTCCATCAGCACTATAGTGAAAAAAACACTACTTAAGATAGCATCTTGATGTGCCTTCCCTAACTTATTTCATCTCCTTGTTTCTCTCTACTTACAAATTCTTTACCATTCAGAACAACCCTACACTTTGAAATTTCAACCATAAGAGTTTATCAAAATAACTTACAGTCATTTCCCAAATTCTTCATTTTCCACATTTCAAGCGTAGAAGGCACACACCTGAGGAGTCCAGCTTTTTTTGTTGTCAATCATATTTCATTGTAAACCATATTTTTGTGAAGCATTATACAATTTTTAAACAAAAATAGCATAGAACAGTCATGAAATGCCAGAAATTTCAATAAAGCAGATAACAGTGCAACCAAATGCAAAAGTTCAGCAATTTAAAAATGCATATATAACACAGGTGCAAATATTTATATGTACAAACTCCTTGCCTCATCACCATTTGCCCCTGGACTTATCTACCTAAATAGATAGATGAGAGTCTGACCAACCTTTGTATGAGATCCCATCATCACTATCCATAGAGATCACTGATTGAGCATATGGAGGACCATTTGAACGGTTTGTAACATGAGACGCTGACTTTGCCATAGGGTCTGTAATTTTTTCCTGAGAAGAGATTGGGGTTAACAAATTTGAGAGCAAGTATCAAAATTGTACAGAATGCAGTCAAGTACAAACTAATTATACAATTTGGAAGCTTGTTACACATGTAGAACTTTTGAACCGATGACTTCTACAAATTATCCTTTGGCTCCTTCATGCATGTAATCTTACTTCAAAATGTTGGCCATATGGCAACTTTACCTAATTTCTTTCTTGCTTTATTTTTCTTTTTTATGTCAAGTATGGCAACTATACTTATTTTACAACAAAAATGGTAAATTGCACAATGACCTGCAAAAAGAGCATCTTCCTCCAAACTTGCTGAAGGCCATTGCCCTCGCCCAAACTAACAAAGAGGGGAGCCAATCCTCAAATGGGCCACACACGTCCTACAAACTCAAGAAAGGAACAAATAACCGGACAACCCTCAGATGTGCCCCACAGGCCCTCACTGGAGTCAAAAGGATAGCCAGAGACCGAAAAGGAACAGTACCCACCCCTCAGGTAGGGCCACAGGGTCTAGCAGAGGCCAAAACTGGCATGCAATTTCCCTCAGTGCCACTTTTTAACTAAGTACTTGAGGACAGTATTAACATTACTGCATTTGACCGAACAATAGATATGAATTTCTAAGCTTAAATAAAACCATTTTATGTCCTAAGAAACCAATTTTTCCATGCAACACGTCTTTTGGGCTAAATTTTTCAGTATAACCAACATAATCCAACTAAACTTTGCCAGGCGTAATATGTAATTATTATAAACTTTAACTATATGGCAACTTTTCCATGAGGAATGAAGGAAATGGTAGTAGTATAAGAATTTCAAGTACTACTCTTAGGACATACTATAGACACATTCTTACACACATACCACGTAAAAAAAAAAAAAAAAAAAAAATTCACATGTAAAATTCCCCCCCACACCCTTATTCTTTCAACCCACAAGGAACACAGCCGCATAGTAAAGTTACAGGTTTGCCCCTGCTAAGATGGAATGCATAGAACCTAGAAAACTTTGGAGAAACTGAAAAGGTGGGCCAGTAATAAATGGGTAACATGCAATTGATTCCATCGCTACAGAATTCATTACAAAGCTTTTATATCTATAAACATGAACCCAATGACCATTATCACCTCCCAATATAGACCACAGTGAAGCACTCACTATGGACTACTGTGAGACTTTTTACAGATCCTAGTGAAGGAAGAACCAACATTCCAAATAGAAAAGTAAACAATATTTTGCCACCATAAATCAAAGAAGCACACACCAACCTAAGAATCCACTTGTTGGCAAGCCACCAAAAATGATTACACCTTGTCAATAAACTGAGCTATCCCTCAAAACATAATTTAGTCTTCATTTTTTCAAGGGAAAGCAAATCTTTTTATTTGAATAATTGATTTTTCTCAAAATAGTACATTTCAGAGGCCATTCCCCCTGACACTAGTTACCTCTGCATAAGGAACACACATGTCCACAAATATATAGATGTACACAGAAATAGAAAGAACAGCTCTTTGAAAAGTCAACTAATTAACTATAACAGTGCAGATTCAAAAAAGGGAGAGAAGCAATCACAAGGCGTGCATTCAACAGTAGATAAGCACATGCATAGCATTGGATATACACATGCATAGCAAAGCAAAGACAATGACGAGCAATTTCAATAGACCACACCTTTTTGTCCTTGTTTTTCCTTGCAGAATTATGGTCCTCCTTCCTTCGCTTACCATTTTCCTTTTTCTGAAAATAAAAATAAAAATAGAGGGTAATCAATCCCATGAATTGGTCACCTTCACCACAAAGACCACTAATGGAGAAGCAAAGATACATTGACCATGGTAGAGAGCAGAGATGATAGATACAAATAAAATCTGTATATATAGGTTACAGTTTGTAAATGCCATCAAATAAGGGGTAGTAGAAGCATATAGTTATAGAAGACAAGGACAACATGGGGACTTTAAAATTTTCAATTTAAGGGACTAGGTGAGTGGGTGGCTTCACGAAAGTGAATTGGGAAGCATTATTGAAGCCACTCCAGGTAGCTTCTATGCCTTTGGACTTTTGTAAAGTGTTTGTTTTTTAAAAAGAATTATTATGTATGTATTATATATAAACAAACAGCTTTAATAAATATAATCTGGGGGTGGGGTAGAATGCGGCAGAGAATGAGAACCTGTTCCCACCATGCCTCCTTATCCAAGGTAAGAAAACCTGTGCAGTGTGAGACAGGGAATGCAGGGGTTGAGCGGGGCAGAACGAGGGGAAGCAATCTTCCTTGGACATGACACAATGAGCCCCTATCCACTGGGGAGCTGGACAGGAGGGGCCAGGGTGGGCCCGACAAAGCCAAGGTATCACATACAGGGAACCGCAGGAAACAAGATATAGAAATAAAGAATAAGGTTCCAGAAGAACATGCATTTGTCAATTTTGCCTATCTCATTGCTTTATCCTTGTTAAGTTAAAATAGTAAATGGATACTAGAGCATACTTGACATATTTTAAGAAGTCAACAATCAAGTTTAAATAAGTCGTGGAGGTTGCACACCTACTTAAAATTACTGATGCTGAATTTTATTGATTAGTGTGTGTTGAGGACTCAATACATTTTACTCAATCAATCAACGATTGAGTTTGAGTTATAAACTATGCATTAGCGTCAAAGAGTTCCACAAAATACAATAACAAAACAAACAGAATAACCATGTCAGCAAAAAGAGAGAGAGGGCTGAAGCTTTAAACCAATAAGGATTGAAGAATTACGTTCATCCATCTACAGCGCAATGCCACGTCCCGAACTGTCTTATCTTTTAACTGCATTGCAATTTTTGCATACCGCACAATGTTGCGTTCTGAGGAATATCTGCAAAATGGTGGACAGCCGAATCAATAAATACGCACACATGCATTATATAGGAGAGAAGTTACAAAGAATTAGTAAAGGCATAAACATGATTTTAAATTTTAATAATATAGTGGCTAAAACAATATTTGACTACAAAATGGAGCACAAACTGTCTTTAATGTTGTTGTGTTTAAGTTAAAGTAATTGCTTACAAAGAAACCTTGTAAACTATAAGGTTGTAAACCTTTGAACCTGAAGCCAAATCACTTGATGTATATTGAAGGGCCCATGAAGCTACTTTACTTGTGACAAATTAAAATATATACATATATATGCATTTGAATTATTTTAACTGCAATAGAAGTAATTATCATTAATCAATATATATAAGTACCTCGAAAAATAATAATAGTAATGAACTCATTTGACCCAGTTAACACAACATTGAAACTCATGATACTTTAAAATACTAGTCTTTATACAAGTGTAGTAGCATATTTTGATATTGGAGGGGCATACTGACACAATTCCTGAAATTAAACAAGCATTTGTACTGAATCCAAACAATTTCTTATTTACCCTTGATTCCAGTTTAATTTTCAAAAAGAAAAACCAGTGAAAGCCAGGCATCATAACAAGAAAGAAAAAAATAATTAAATCAAACTGAATAGACACATATTCAAATCAAATCAAGATTGAAAGAATTACAAACAATAATCCACAAATTCAGCAGATGGGTCACCAAGAAACACAAATATAACAAATACCCACATACATAAAGAGAGAGAAGGTTGTGATTACTGACTTGTTGAGCAAATCCTCCAAGAGGTACTGCTCGTCCGGGGTCCATTCGACGGAGAGACCAGGGTTGTGGCGGAGCGCCGCCTGGGTGGGACCCACCGGCGAGTTGTCATGGGGAACCGAACTGCCGTTATTGGTGGCGCCATTTGCATTGGCTGAAGAACCTTCTTGATCATTATTATTATTACTATTATTCCCAGAAGGGTTTGCACTCGCAGCCATCGACCCACCAAACCAATCAATCAAAACCCCTCAAAAAAAAAAAAAAACAAAAAACAAAAACCAGAAATCTTTTACACCTCTTTCGAATCTCTCTGCAAGTAAAACCGACTTAGATGAGAGAAACATATATATATATATATATATATTTGGAAGAGAAGATCAGTACGGAACGGCGTGGAGAGTCTTCTGCTTAATTTCGGCAAGTTGGTCGGGTTTTTCCTTTTTTTCATTCGACTCGCCTCCAGTAGAAAATTAAACAATCGAGGTTTGGGGGCCGTGGTGTGGTTTGTTTAGTTTGAGAGTAAAATTAGAAATTAAATCATGGGTTAACAAGGATTGATAAATTATAATTTTGATGGTTTTTTACGGATTAAGAAATTAAAGAATATTTTAATTAATTATCATATATTTATATAATATATATTAGCATATCATTTAATTTATATACAGATTGTGTTTATAATTATTTATATATATATATATGATTGTGATTTTTAATTTTTTTTTTACACACGGAAAAAGAAATATAACAAATGTAACATATCTTTAATTAATTATTTTATATTGGTTTTTATTCAAAATTTTAAAATAATGTACGAACAAAATTTAGTATTATTATGAGAAATAATAATCATATGTGTTTGGACTTTTCAAGGAATTCATATGTGTTGAATTTCAAAGAATTTTTTTTATGTTTGTTCTTAATACATTAAAGTGTTATTATAAGCGTAAGACTTGGAAGTTGGGAGAAATTAACAAATGTTAAGATTTTTTTTTTTAAAATAAAAAAATCAAGAAATTTAGATTGGGAGATTGAAACTGAGAAGTTTGTGGGTTGGGTTTTTTTTTTTTTTTTTTTCACTAAAAGATAAACTTTTTACAAAATCAAAAAAAATAAATCCAAATAAAATATCACATCTAATCCCATAATCATTTCATTTTTTCTCTCACAAACATCACATCAAATCACAAAAAAACTCAACTATCTTCCTAAACACCAAATTTTTTTCTCTAATAATATCCTACAACTAAAAAAACCTACATAAAAACACACTTTCCAAACACCCACATAATTATTAAATTATAATAAATTTCATATTTTAAATCTCTCTCACAATTATTTTTATATTGATATTTTATTAAAAGTTAAAAAATATATATGTATTAATTATAGCGGAGCGGAGTGATTCAGTTGGCAAATTATAAATTTTAAAGTTTAAACCGCAAGTAACAGTTAAAGCAGTGCAAATTGATGTGGATCGGTGCGATTTTAATGAATTAAGTAGCATTTTACACAACTCTAATTGAGGTGTTTGATCGAGAAGAATCATTAAAATAAAAACCTCTAACGTTTTATTTGTCAATTATATATTTTAATAAAAAAATTATAAGTTATCACATTATCTTTTATATCTTTTTATAAAAAAAATTAAAAATTATTAAAATAAATTGTGACAACACTCCCCACTAACTATTTTTAAAAAAATTTACCAATAAAATCTTCTTTTTAATAATTCTTTGCAGTTATAATCTTTCATTTAATAATTCTTTTCCGGTTAAAAAAATACTTGAGACCCTTATTTTTTAAAAATCTCAATAATTCTTTTGGACCTCTACCATTAATGCATATATGAGACTCACTCATATATGTATAGAATTCACACTATTAATAATGAAGATCTAAAGAAAATTGTGAAGTCCTAAAAAAAAAAAATAATAATAAATAAATAACATCTCAATCATTGTTGTATCTCAATCTGACACAAATTATTCCCTTTTTATTTCCCCACTCGCGCATCTATGAATTCACGGGTCCTTTTTAAAGCTCTTTGTGGATATATGCTGCCTTCTAAAAATTATAAATTAAAAAATTTACAGGGGGCTCGAGCTGAAAGTTCTACTCTAAACAAAATAGGAGTTACACTATCTAAAAAAACAAAAACAAAATAGGAGTTATATGGGGTGTTTTAAATAAGTGTATTTTTTTTATTTTTTTAGACTAAAAAGTTAAGGAAAAAAATATAGATGTTTGGGTTAATTTTGTGACTTTTTATAAAAAAATGTGTATTAAAAAATTGTATAAATTAGTGTGTAAGGAAAAATTAGTATTGAGAGTTGTGCAGTCGTAATTTTTGACTTTTGAAAAATAGTTATAACTTTTTAACTTTTTGAATAACTTTTTGACTTTTTAATTTTTTTACACTTCCCAAACTTGGCCTTAATTTTTATTTTTTTATTTATACAGATAATAATAATTTAAAATACCATAATATTTTTATTTATCTACTTGCATACCTATTTGTTTATTTATCTGTTGTCATGAGCAATTTTTTTTTAGTACTGACGATTTTTTAACAAATCTTTATCGGTGATGAACGATTAATAATAGTGTACAATAAAAAGGAAAAAGTATAAATTAAAAAAATAACAAAGAAAAATATATATTTAAAACAATAATTTACAAGTGTTAGTAATGGGCGCCTATGTGGCATGACCATTTGAACATAATTTGGATCTTATCCAAATAGGTTTTGAATTAAATTCAAACCTATTTAGGATAACCACTCAGGATATAGATATTATCAGTTTTAACTGATATGGATAAATAATAATAATATAATATATATCTGATATATGGTTATGGGTAACCTAAGAGAGAAACAACGTAGTTTTTGTTTCAACCCATAAATTGACTCTATCCTAAGAAACAACGATCAAGTCAGATGCACTGTGGTTTGTGTGGGTGATATTCACCATTGTAATATCACCCCACTGCTGGGATTGATTGATTAGATTCTGGAAGCACGTGATTTATCCATGAGGTTTTAGATCGAATCAGGTATGATCTAAAAATTTTATTCCGCTGTATATTTTATGTTCTGATTTACATTGGTATCAGAGCCATTGATGGGTATTTTCGCTGTGGTTTGTGTGGGTGATATTCACCATTGTAATATCACCCCACTGCTGGGATTGATTGATTAGATTCTGGAAGCACGTGATTTATCCATGAGGTTTTAGATCGAATCAGGTATGATCTAAACATTTTATTCCGCTGTATATTTTATGTTCTGATTTACAACAAGTCTAACCAATATATTTCATTAACTATTTCTTTATAACAAAAACAAATCAATTATTGAATCTTATGTCATATGTATTCATACAAATTAATTTTTCAGCAATTAAATCAAGAAAATACATCAAATGCAAATTATACATTTTTCACCTTATGATCTGTTCGTTTTGATGGAAAATATTTTCTAATATTTTATACGAAAATTTTTTCATAAAATATTTTTTGAATAAAATATTTTTCTACGTTTGTTGGTAGTGGTGGTGGAACAAAGGTGGATGTGGAGGTGGTAGCATGGTGGTGAGGCGATGGTCGCGGGGATGGCAACGGTAATGGTGGTGGTGTCCATGGTGATGGTAATGTGGTGTGGTGTGATGTGGTGCTGTTGATAAAATTTTAGTCCATAAAATGTTTTTCGCCTTTTAAAATTGAAAAATATTTTATGTCAAAATAGATTTGTTTTCCATTTATCATAAAAAATATTTTTCATTAACTTTTATTTTCCATTAAATCAAACACCAGAAAATACAAAAAAAAAATTAAAAAATATTTTCTGTCTAAGCAAACAAAACATTAACTAAAATTAGTTGTCCTATTTAAAAAAAAACTAAAAACTACAACTAAGAGAATCCAAATGCAAATTGAGTCACGGCATTCTGGTGCGAATTCGGGGGCTTCATCATTTTCCCTTTTGCCCAAGAACTTTTGTAGTATTTTGTGGTCTCTCCCAATCCCTCCAAAGGTTTGAAACTTCTGGTGGAGGATGTATTGTAATAAATTAGCAACCAAAGAGAATCTCTTTCGACGTCAGTGTACAACTTCGCATGGTTGCCTAATATGTGGAACGGGTGTTGAATCGATTGAACTTCTCATATTCCATTGCGAATGGACCAGAATATTGTGGTTTTTGTATGATATAGGGCCATTGCCAGGGTTGGAGTTTATATTCTTAGCTAAAGTTTGGACACAAACAATTATTGAGAGAGGCGTGAATGCTACTTATCGTAAAGAAAAACGAAGGAAAGTTGCTACAGTGAGATGGTTTATTTGGAAAGCTCAAAATGATTGGGTCTTTAAAGGTGATCCTATTCAAGTTGTCAAGCAAACCTCAACTTTGTGGAGAGAAATTAGTATGGTGTTATCAAAAGATGCAATATCTCCATTGCCGAACAACCCATATGAAGATAGTAATGTGTATGAGAGGGGTCAAGAACATCGTTGGAAAATTCGAAAATCTTCGAAGACTCTTGAAGAAAAATTTTGAATTCTCTAGAAGATGATGAGAGGCTTAAATTCTTCAATAGTCTCAACTAAGAACATAAAAGAAAGGAGATGGTGGAGATAAGAGATTGGGTGAAGAAGAAGGCAAAGTAGCTAGAGAGAGAAGGCTCTCCCATGGATCTCTCACTTTCACTCTCAAGGTTGATAATAGAGAAGGGAAATTAGTTCTTTCCCAAGAATTAACTCTCTAAATTCCATCCCTTGTAAAGCTATAGGTGAGTGCTATTTATAGGCACATCATGATGTAGGATAGAGCCTGTGTGTAAAGCACATGGGGAGTGTTCTCTCTAACAACCTTGTCTGAGGAGGTAACCTCTCCAAGGATGAGGAAAACCCCGAAGAGGAGATCAACCTCTCAGCGAACCCTTATTCTTAGCCACACCTAACCAATGATCCCTAATCATCCCAAAGGGCCGAGGTAGTCTTAGAGAACTCCCTACCACTAAATAATGCCGAGTCTCATGGACCCCCCGGGGTCGTGCCACCTCGACCCGGGTATAGGCTAGTTTAACCGAAGAGTGAATTTATCTCCACTCACCGTCCTCGGGATCGGGTCCTTTGTTCGAACTCCATTACGCCCATGGTTTGGTGCGTAGATCCCGGAAAGCTCTGAGCCCGCAAGTGTTCTGGGACTCATTAATGGATCAGCTTCTAGATTGCGTCTGAATCCATTCGAAGCCAAGTGCTTCGGATCTCTAGGTTCGTGGATCCAAACCCTTTCGAGTCCGAGCC